TATACATGTAATATAATATGTAAAAACTAACTCATTATATTTGTTCTAATTAGATTTAATTATTTTAATTTGATTTTTACATAAAGTTTAAATAGATGATTTTATATAGTGAATAAATAACAATTAATTTTTTTAATTTAAGTAAAAATATTTAATAAGACATGCAGTGGCGGAGCCACATATAGGTCAGGAAGGGCCACGGCCCCCTGATCTTTTGAAAAAATTTTAATTAGCACCATATACTTTTAAAAACTATAAATAGGACCTTAAGATTTTAAATATAAAATAAAAATTTATTAATTATTTGAGAAATTATTAGATTATATCTCTTGGTTTTGTTTTAATTTCAGTTAAATTTGGCTTTAATGGTTAACATAGTATCTCTACAAAAAAAATTTTAAAATTACTTTGTATCATCATGTTTCACCTTTCATTTTTCTTTGATAATATTTAAGGAAAAGATAAAATTTTCTTTGTTTTGTACATGTAGTTGGTTATAAGTGAATGATAAGTTTTGTTTTTTAGTGCACAAGACCACTACTTATAAATAATGTAAAATTTTAATTTATATAATATCTCTGATTATTATAATAATTTTAATTGGTTATTAAAGAATTGTTTGATGCAGGTTATTTTATCCCCTAACTAAGAATTACACCCTACAAATGACTAGAATTAATTTGGGTACAAATGCAATAATTAATTTCATTGAAAATTATCTAATAGCATGGGATCATAAACTCTAATCATATCTTCATAATATAAATTACTAGAATTTGTTATGTTAATTATTTAAAATATCTTCACTAATAAAAATTTGACTGAATTGGTATCTAATACCCACTAAGTTTTCAATCATGATTTACAATAGTATAAACCTTTGTAATGTGCAATTAATCTTTAATGTGCAAAAAAAAAAAAAAAATCTTTGAAACATATTAGTTTCATTGGTTAATTTATATTAATATTTTGTAATATTGATTTTGTTTGAAACTAAAATCTATGAGTAATCACATAAAATTTAGGTAATTTTTATAAACTTAAGGCATGTGATTTTAGTTTTTATAATAAAAGTCTTAGTCTCCTTTTTATGTGTTATAACTCTAGTAAAATTCATCTTTTTCAATGTTTTTAAGTTAAAGATGGAATTTGATATTTTAATTTTCTTCTTTTATAATTTTGCAATTGGTCCCCTAAGATAAATTCCTAGCTCCGCCATTGGATATATGTCTAAAAAAATTTCTATTACTATTTATTTAACATGTAAAATTATTTAATCAAATTTTATATAAAATTAAAATAAAACAACTAAATCCCAAAGAGTAAACTATCACGATTTTAGAATTGTGATGCGTTTTATTTATATACCATTTCATTACTGTTAAAAAAAAAAAAAACCTAATGGTAAACTATCATTGAGCCCCAGTTGAAGGTCCAAGTCCAAACTCAGCCCAATAAATTATATTGGGTTAATAATTTCTTGATTTGGACTATGTCCGAAAACTACCAAATGGGCCTGAGAAATGTATAATCAAACCCTAACGAAGAATCAACATGTCCTCGCCTCGTCTCTCTTACCTATAAAACTCACTGTCACCACTCATGTCCACAATGCGAAAAACCCTACGATGTAGAACCCTCACCGGCGGCCGCTAGTCCTCCTGTTCTTACCTTTTTCCATGACCTCTTCTTTTTTTTCATCTTCAGGTTTTTGCACAAGTACTGAGGCACCATGTTGATTGAACAAAGTCCATGGTTGCTTAATCTGAACGTGCAAATATCAAAACAAGGGATCCGCTTTGCAGCTTTAGCTCTTAACCATGCTTTTGCTGCCTGTAATGCCCTCACATTCCTTCATCACATATATTTGCTTAAACTTACATCTTCCAATTTGGAGCATGTCAATCCAATTCCATACTTTCTTGAATTTCTCAACGCTTTCCGTGATGATATTTAACTAATTCCGAATGTCTTAAAAAATTTAATTTAGAAATCCAGATTCTTTAAACTTTTGTTTATTTAATAGAAACTTATCAATTTTAGGGGATGGTTATTCAACAAGTTTTGTTTCATTTTTATGATTTAATTAATATGTTTGATTTAAGAAAAATAGAGTATGAGAGCTGATGAAAGGATATCAAATCTCTTCATTTCTCTCCCATAAGTAAAATGAATTTTTCTTTTTGATCAACCAAGAAAATTTTAAATTTTATTATTTTTGGAGTACAAGGGTACTCTATCTTTAATCAAGTTTACAAAATTCACTTCACAAATCAAAATCCTCCTTGTTCAAAACATTGTGTCCTCAAGCATTTAAGATACCAAGTAATTGCTTCTGCACAAACTTTTGGGTTGCTGCACCACTCAAAAAAAGAATAACAAAACCCAATCACCTTACCCTTCAACCAAAGAAAGGATCTCATTTGAATTACCTTAAATAAATTACTTACTGAAATGTCAACCTCCTTAAAAATTAGTTAAAAATTAGATTATTCCATGCTTTCCAAATGGACCATGTAATAACAAGAAACATGAATGACCAAACTTTCTTTTTCTTTACTTCAGCCATCCCTATTACAAGTGATATGAACATGTCTTGGATTGAGTCTAGCTGGGTGTTATTAAAACTCCACCATTCCAAGCACCTTCTTCATACACTGGCTACATAATTGCATCTAAGCAAAGCATGTTCGTCATCTTCCTCCTCTTTGTGGCATCTTAAATAGTTGTTATCCTCAGCATCCACTTGAAGACCCTTTTTTTTTTATAGGTTTAACTTTCTAGGTAACCTATCTAAAAACATTCTCCAAGCGAAAAAAAACTTATCCTTCCAGGCACAAGATTATTTCAAATAACTTTACACAAATCAAAATCAAGGATTTGATGATTAGCACATAACAAAGAGTATGCCTTCCTAACTGAGTATATTCCACTACTATCAAACCTCCACACCCTCCTGTCCTCTCTCCCTTCAATCACCCTAACCCCATCCAATAACTCCAACAACTTTGTCTCCTCTTCACATTCCCTTCCAAACAAATTCCTTCTTCACACTAACTTCCAAGACCAAACACCATCTCACAGAATCCCATTTCACCAACTTTCAAGTTCAAAGACGTTATCAACCTTTTCAATCTTGGAAGGTCAATCTCTAACACCCTCCCCTCCAACTAGTTATCTTTACAAAACTTAACATGCCCACCATCACCTATCACCCATCTAAAAGCATCCCTAACTATATTCTCCATCTACCCTTTTGGCCCTCCTAAAAGGACATTATCCTCCCATATTTTGGACAATCTTCTTCTTCTAATATTACCCACCCCAAACTCTCTCCCTTCCTTATAATATTTTTCTAACAAGACTTTTTTCCATAAACTCTCAAATTTCTCCTCAAACCTAGCCCACCACTTCCCCAATAAAGCCAAACTCCTATTTCTCAAATTTGGTACCTCTAGCCCTCCCTCATAAGTAAAAAGATATTAAAAAATAGTGTAGATGTCTTCTTTCTTCTTATTTCCACTCTCTTCTTAACTAAATATACAAACATACAGGAAGAGATGAAAAATGTGTTTTGCAACATTAATTATATTGAAATTTAAAATATTAACTATTGAATCAAAATAGTATTAGAAACCTAGTGTTTTACAATTTGATATTAGTTGGACTAAGTCAAACCCTCATGTTATTTGCATTTATTTTGTTTAGCTCTCTGAATTTGAAACCAGACTACAAACTACTATAGTAGTAAAGATGATCAAATTATAAATTGATTGATCTTATTATAAAAGGAAGAAAGAAGAGTATATTGATTGATCTGATTGTAGAAAGAACTAGAAAGAAATATCAAGTTGTTATGAAAATTGATCAACTAAGAAATCAATTGGTACCAACTGGTTGATTTTAAAGATTTAATATTAATTGTAATCACATTAATAAAAAAAAATTTAATTAATTGCTTTTTTTGTTATTATGTATTTCCTCACTCTATAAATAAAATTATTCATATGTAAAAGATAAATAAACATGACTCTTGTATCCTAAATTAGGAAGGCTTTAATGCATGACACGTCCTAACACTATTTCAAATTATGTAAGATTATGTTTTCCTCTCTTTTATTTATCTTTTATTTTATTTATATTATTATTATTTTATTATGAAATTTCTAGTATAAGAAATGTTCTCTTTGTATTAAAAACTTCGTCAAGTAGTGATATAAGATAGTATTAATGAAACGGTAATGAATGCGGCACGGTGGTCATTCCAAATTATGTAATATTATTATTATTTTATTATGAAAGTACTAGTATAAGAAATTTTCTCTCTGTATTAAAAACTTCTTCAGGTAGCGATATAAGATAGTATTAACGAAACTGCAATGGATGCAGCACAGCGGTCATTTAATAAGTGCAGTTGGGACGACCCCTACACTAGTACTGGGCTAATTTAAGACACCATGTGAGAGTATTTGTCTTTGACAACTGAAATAAAGCTTTGTGGCTACAATTTAAACATTGCAACACATTCAACACAGCCCACCTGTTCCCATCTCCTATTCGTTTATTGGCAAAATTCAGTAATTTTGTTACATTTTTTTAATAAAGTAAAGAATTTTCATGATGACATCCTGCAAATGTCATAACTTGTTATGTATCCCCGTGGGAATATATATTTTTTTTAATCCATACAATTCCCCTAACAATGGTGCATGAAGTATTTTGCTCAGTCCACACAATTTCCCTGACAATGGTGAATGGAATTTTGATTCTTGAGAGAATTGAATTTATAGATATTGTCATTTAATTTCATGGGTACATTTTTTATGTGAGATATATGGGCTACTGAATTTTTAACATGTCTTGCCCGATAATGTTATATGAAACTCTTCTTTAATTTACTTATTAAATTGTTATTGATTTATTGTGTGGAAGTTTGTTCTATATAATTCTTGTAAAAAGATGAAACGTTAGGGATCAAAACGTTAAGAGAAATCTAATTTGACAAGCATACTTACACATGGATAGGAACACAAGAATCATTAATCGGCATAGAGCCATAGAGTTTATGATTCAAATTGATCAAAGGATAATGGTTCACAGGTTCGTTCGCTCTTCAAATCTGCCCACATGCCTAGCCGCCAGGACAATTGACTGTCTTTTTGGGATAATAGTATATACATTTGCATGGCATAAAATTAGGATGTCCTAAAATTTAATTAGAATATATAAAATAATAATAATAATATTTAAATATTTTCTTTGTACATCTGATTATGGGGTTATTCCCAAATCCCTTCCCACACAACTCAAAACTCGAATTTGAGATCTCTAAATTAAAATATTAAAATTTTAATCTTGAGTCACCTTTTTGGGGTTAAAATTTAAGTACTTTTGATAAATCAATACTTAAGAAAATTTTATTTAAAATATTTAAATAATTTTACTATTACAATCCTATTTTAGCCCTTCCTATTTCATTACGGATATTTATAGTGGCAAAACATTCTATTTTTTACTTTTCTCATATATATTCCCATCTCACGTTCTTTGTATTTTCCCCATATTTCTTCTTTGTTTTGTTCTTAATAATGAAGGTAAATTTAGAATATCCTAATTAATTTTTACTAGTTCTCCCTATTTTTTT